CTCCATTGCTCACCTTGTTATATGTTCTTCCATAGAGCAAATCTTGGTATTACCTTAAAGGTTATCTCTTTCTGCATGAAAAATATTTTTTTTTGTTCCAACTGCTGAGTGCTGCTTATTGCTACATTTGCACTCAAGTCACAGTTGAGGTTTCCTTGGTCAAGTAAAGCTAATGAAGTAGTTTTCAGATAAATATCATGCTGTGCATGAGAAACTCCATCTGGTCTCCATTTGTCTACATGCAGAACAACAGCAGCTTTGTCCACTTGTACATTTCTAGTCCTGATACCATGCAGTTTTTCACTTAGATTAATTCACAATTGTAATCCCACTGCTGCACATTCACTTCTTGGCACCATGCAAGCAGTAATGCAGTAACAATCTGTCACCAACGTGTTTCCCAGAGTGTAAATGGTTCTCCCACACCAGGGAGACAGGCACAATGTCAGAACATCAAAAGCATAACATTCCCTCCCTGTGGGCTGCACTGGCACATGGCACACTGTGTTAAGCAAATTGTTTGCTAATTGGGGCACTGCAGAAGCACAAAGGTCTGTAAGTGTTGGTTGTGTTTCCTGTTCTTGGTGAAGGGCACTGGTTTTCCCTGCTCCCAGGAGCCTTCACTGCTGTGAAGACTGAGATGCATCAGCAGCAAATTTTGGTAGAAACTCACATCCAGGCTCCTCTTCAGGAAACTGATAGGGTTCTCTAGCCCAGAAACATTCTGTATTACAACTTTTCATAAAGATAATAGGTTGAAAATGATCAAAATCCCTGAATTTCTACCCCAACAATTACAATGCAATTAAACACACAAGACACTTTAAAATGGCTTGTGTGTGCTTTCTATAAGCACATTTGACATTTTTCCCTACCCAAATCTATAAAAAAATATGTTTCCCATAAAAAGGAAGACATCCTCCATTTAGAGATAAGGGAAAGTTCTTATGGGAGCATTAAGATCCACTTTAAACTGTTACTTTCTTAATGTAATTTTTTTCAACATTTTCGGTGAAAGTAACATCTCATCCAAGCCTTAAGATGCATTCTTGAACTACATCCATGGAATAAGAAACAGACAACATAAAGCTGAGTAGTTCCAGATTCTGAAATGCAGGAGAAAACTGTAAGTGCAAAAAGAACGAATGTATGGAGTGAGTTTACAGTGACTGCTCAAAACCCATTCCTGGGATGCGTTTTTATTAAACAAACATACATTTAACCAGAAAAGAAAATCTCCAGACCAAATCAATTCCAATGATTTGCAGAAGAGTCTTTGAACGCAAATATGTACTCTTTGAACTCAGTATGTAATGTGGAAAAGGGTATGATTCAAAGACAATTTTGAATCTGATCCTTAGGCTAAAGTTTTCATTAAGGATATTTTACTGTGGTCATAAGACAGTTAAAGAAAAAGGCAGAAAAATGAATGAGTCACTTGGCTGAAGAAGAACAGCAGCATTGAGGTCTGAGTGCTATGTGTTAGCTCATGTCTAGCAATATAAAATAAGTTGGAAAACAAAAGCCTGTTTGCAATTTATTTTACAATATAAAGTGTTTTCCCTCTGAAATACAAAAAAAAATCTTGTATAAACCTGTGGCTTTTTAACTTTCTCAGGTTTGTGAAATATCATTCTCCGATCCCACAGGAGGAACAGATGGGTTGTCCTTGTACAAAATATGGTATCCACCTGCACTTCATTAAAGAGCTGCATTTTTGTACATGCCACACCACAAGATCACCATGATGACATAGCAGCTTCAGAGAACAGCGTGACTAGGGCTTTTTTTTTTTTTTTCCCTCTTGTAACACAGAGGATCTGGCAGACTTTTACCTCCTGACACTGTTTAGAGCATATATTGGTCGATACAGCCTCTTATTGCATCTGCTCTGGGAATTAAGGAAAGCAGCTTGAAGGCAGTAAGGTAAGTGCTGCTGCATGCTTTAACCGTAATGTTCAGCTGTTTAAATGTAGCTGTAATGGGAACATGAAAACATGACAGGATAAGTTTGCCAATTTGTAAATTGAGCACAAATTAACAGTTTCACTGTCGATTCACTTTCTCAGTTTCCTTTAAACAGCTTCACATATTTTGTACATCAGTGCTGCAATTTTTCACAGTCTGTTTTGTTCTACATCGGAATAAGATTTGATACACAGTACAAAGAAGTGTGTAAGAGTACTCACTGTTTACTTTTTCATTCATAATATTAATGAGAGCTTTGTAAACCCCATTTGCTAAATCATTTTGCTCCATTCTACAAAAAGACAATGTATCCTGATATTTAAATAATTAATCACATAAACAATGAGAGGGAAACAGTAGATATTTTAAAAATTCTAATTAATTTTAAAGCTCATTTTAAATATACCAGTGAAACTTTAAAAATATAGTCTTTTACAAACTTAATTTAAGAAGTTAAACTACAGAATTAAGGTTGACTGACTGTTAATTTTATATTTATTCTGTTTCATAATAAATTAATGATTAAGGAAATATAGACAAGGTCAAACATAATTCAAATAGTATTTCTACATTAATGTAGCAAGCGTTTTCCCAAAATTATGGATTTATCATTTAGTATGTTTTGGCAAGTTGCCTGGGCAACTTCACAAATATTTTCACAGGTATTTTGCAGGACAACTGCTTAGAACAGGCACAGAAAATTAATTAAAGCATGTTTATGTTGTAATATAAGCATCTAAGAATGTTTTCTGATTTTATATCTTGGATTCATGTAGCTCATTGCAACAAACAAACATGATCTATTAACCTTTTACACTTCTGACAGTGAGACATTCACATACCTGAATGAGAAATGCATTAATAAAACAAGCTAAATAAATTTCCCATTTACTTTGCAATTTTGTGTTGCACACAGGCCCATATGCCCCTGAACTATTGAATTGTCACATAAATTCTAAAACGTTTTGATAAATTAATTCAAAACACTTGCCATCTAACATTTTTAGTTACTTGAAGGGTTCTGCAGAGCAGTAAAATTTTTACTCTATTTAAAGGACTGTAGGACTACGATATCAATAATGCAACTTAGCATTACAAATATAATTTGAAACCAAAAAAAAAGAGTTTCAATTTAAAATGTCTATGTTATTTTAAAACTATAAAATTAAAGAGGTGTGTAAAAAATGTCACCATAAGGCTAAAGAGTGTAGTCCAAGGAGTTCATTACTCTTTTTATACTTTGAATACAGAAGTATTTGATTTCCTTTATTTGATGTTTAGTACCTAAATAGGACTGGATTTTGAGATGAATTGTGTTACTGCAGTCTTTGCTTTCAGATGAGCTGTACTTATTTATACCAGCAGGGGACTAAAGTTCTAGCTCATGTTCATGTTGCATGTTCTCATGCAGTAATGAAAGACAGGCAAAGAAAATTACACTGACAACTAATATTTCAATGATTATCCTAGGGTTTGTAATTAGGTAAATGTGATGGGACCAACTCCATGGAGATGATATGCAATCAGATTCCTTTTCCAGGGGACAGCAGCTTAATATCTAGCAGTGGGACTTTATGGGTTATTGAGTAAAGATAACATAAGAACATTTTTTAAAAATTCTTTGTGCTGTACTGCATGAGATCAATAGACCCTGCCTAGAGATGCTTTAAATGAGATTGTTATCTCACTAGAATATTGTATGGCTTTTAAGAAGTCAATAGAAGGAAAGACATTTAGAATTAGGGAAAATTTTGTAGCTATGGCCCTGCACTTTAACATTAAGTCCTCTGTGTAACAATTCCAATAGCAAGACTAACTTACTCTGCTGGAAAATTGCCCAGATCTGAGATCAATGCCTTGTGGTCTGTTTACAGGCTTCACATACTTTCTGAAATTCCTTGAGAAAAAAAAGGTTTTAAGGATTTTCTTAATCCTCTCAGTCTCTGAACAGTAGTTGAGTACTTGGAGCCTTGTCTTTTACTAGTGAAAATCAAAGCTCACTGACTTTATTGATTCTAGACCTACTTTTCCAGCAGAATATCTGTCTATCCAGTTAGAGGTATAAACAAGATACTAGTCTTCACAGATTAATTGACATCTTGTGGAGTACCTGATGAGAAAGCTATGGCCTTAAAGAGTTAAGTGACCCCATGTATACTGAATCACAAACACCTCCAATGACACCAAATATCCTTTTGCTGTATGTGAACTGAAAAACTAACTATGTAAAGCCAGTTCAGTTAAATTAGAAGGGGCATAAAATGTAACCAACACCTTTGTTGTATAGAGAATTTGCAAGAACATTTTCACTATCTGAAATTCAGTCATTTCAGGTCCACTGTCAGATTCAGTCATTTCAGATCCACCACACACATATGCAATACTGGTTGTTTGGCATGTTAAAGATAATACACTTTATATTCCTATTAGTTTGTTCTTTGTGTGACTATGAGACTTAGTGTCCCATGCTTTACAGAGCATAATCCATGAGAAAAAGAGCTTTCAAGCCACACACATCTTAACAACCCACTATGCATGAGAGCATTACCCTCAGTTTTAGCTTCCCTGTCTCTTTCAAACTTAAGTCAAATAGCCACATGTTTAGAAATGAGACAATTCAGCACATGGAATGCTTGGTAGAATTTAAATGGTGGAACTGTCTCTGAATGTGGCCTTCAGCAAAACTGAAAACTTCTGTGGCAAGTTTAAAAACCTTGTACTTCATTCTTTCTTGTGACTTAATCAATGAATGCATAAAAATATAAAAAAAGTTTTACTTACAACAGCAAAATGGCCAGCAATTTTGCGTTGCAAAGGAAGATTATACAAGACAGAGGCAGTAATATAGTATTAACAATGTAATACTAACAACCCAATATATTTTTCTCTTAATTAAAAACTTTAAATAGGAACCATAATTAGTTTTTAAATATAACCTTTATGAGGTAAAATTTCAAATATTGCTGAGAGAGATAAAAAACTAAAGTTATATCCTGTTTATTCCCTTTCATCATACAGGAACAGGACACATTAGAAAGATGACTCTAAATTTCCTAGCTGTCTTTCTGCTGTTGATTAGTGGCATTTTTTGCCAGTATGACTACGGTCCTGGAGATGATTATGGCTATGATCCTTTCGGGCCATCTGCAGCAGTCTGTGCCCCAGAATGCAATTGTCCTTTGAGCTACCCTACTGCCATGTATTGTGACAATCTTAAGCTGAAAACCCTTCCAATTGTACCAAGTGGAATTAAATACCTTTATCTCCGAAACAATATGATTGAGGGAATTGAAGAGAATGCGTTTGACAATGTAACAGACCTACAGTGGCTGATCCTGGATCACAACCATCTGGAAAATTCAAAAATTAAGGGAAGAGTCTTTTCTAAACTAAAGAACCTGAAGAAACTTCACATTAACTACAACAATTTGACGGAAGCTGTTGGACCACTTCCCAAAACTCTAGATGACTTGCAATTAAGTCACAACAAGATCACAAAAGTCAGTCCTGGTGCATTTGAGGGTCTGATGAATCTGACTGTCATTCACCTCCAGAACAACCAGCTGAAAGCAGATTCTATTTCTGGGGCTTTTAAAGGCCTGAATTCACTTTTGTATCTTGACTTAAGCTTCAATCAACTTACAAAGCTACCGACAGGACTGCCTCACTCCCTGCTCATGCTGTATTTTGATAATAACCAGATTTCCAATGTTCCTGATGAGTACTTCCAAGGTTTTAAAGCCCTACAATATTTACGCTTATCCCACAATAAATTAACAGATTCTGGAATACCAGGTAATGTCTTCAACATCACATCCCTAGTTGAGTTGGATCTCTCCTTCAATCAACTGAAGAGCATTCCAATTGTCAGTGAGAACCTGGAAAACTTCTACCTCCAAGTCAACAAAATTAACAGTAAGTTAAATTTGCACATATTCATTAGTGTTTACCACAGACTAGATACTGATGGCCAATGCAAGTATCTGAAATAACACATGAACCAGTCTGAAAAAATAGTACTGTTTAGACTGTTAGCACACTGACATTTACCTAACAGTTGTCCACATTCATGTTAAAAGACAGATATTTACTGAATAGCCACTCAATATATCCTTAAAATGAGAAATTTATGCTTTCATGCTAAAGTGGATTTTTTCCTCAAACTCTCATCTTTTGTAAATTGGAGTAACTACATAGAAGCCAATGAAGTTGTCTTGTACAATTCAGGAAAAAAATGAAAAGTGTCATCAGTGCAAAAAGATGTTCAGAATTCTTAAGTTAACAAAAAAGAGAGATTTCAGGTGTGGATATGACTATGGTAACCTTTCAGGACCTGGTAATCAAAATACTGGAGGGAGGAGAAGGGGAGAAAAATCAAATTCATAAGATAGCAGGCACAAGATGCACTGAAACAGATACATCAAAGTAACTGCATTTGTTTCTTTCCTCCCTTGCCTCATGCAGTACCCCTCCAAACCTCTCTTGAAATCCAAAGAGCTACCCCTGTTCTTTCTTTTCATTCCCATTTTGCACATCACATGATCAGGTGGCAAGTTTGTCTCCATTCATTTATAATCTGAAAAATGTTCCTTGTGATGTCAAGAAACACCACACCTTGCACGAGACCATGCAGGTTTCTGCAGAGACAGGGCTTTCACAAGGCTGTCCCCTTCCTGGGCTGACAAGGAGGTGTTGCAGAGCTGGAGAGGCCTCACCACCATGCCAGAAGTTCCCCAGCTGCACCTCCATCAGTGGTAGTCCCTGATGGAGAGGGAGATATTCCAAGTATGACTGTGGCTCTTCAGGAGGATTTACATCATCTTGCTTGTTGATATAAAGCTTGTTGTAAACCACAAAATCCTCCCTGCTGTTTGCCTGCTTGTATCCATCAAGGATTAAGAGTATCAGTGTTAGCTACTCCATACATAGCTAACCCCATGGAGACACAGCCTTTAAAACCAAACATTTTTAGTGCAGATCTTACCAGATTTAGGGCAAGATATTTTGAAATGTTTTGTATTTACTATGTTTCATTTTTCTCAGTGGCTTTTTTTTTCTAGTGCATCTCAGTTTCTTGTTTTGATGAGGGAAAACAATGAGTTAATAGTTCCCACCCAAGGCACTACATACAGCAACCTGTGGAACTCTACCAGATACTCTGCCACTCCTAAAATAGCTAAAGATTATGATTTTTAACTTCTCATGTGATATAAGCGCTTTCCCCTACTTAGAATGATCTGAGCCTTCTGCAAGATAACCAGGTACCAAGCTTGGCTGCTATTCACTTTTCCAAGGACATCAGGGTCAGGGACTATGACAACAATTTTAGCTTTTCAGGGCAATCTGCATTTTTCAGGGGGATGGTGTGGGGAGTGGATGTTCACCAGCTATTGCTACACTATCATTGCTACCCTATGGACTGATGCAACAGAATTATGATTTACTTTTTTTTCTTTATCATAAAATCTAGCAGACTTCAAGAATCAATTTACAGGCATAATATATAGTTCCCTAAGATGCTGATTGACAATGTGGTATAAAAATTAATTATAAATAATCATTAATACAGGGCAAACAAAGCCCTTGGATTTCACCATTCATTACACCTATCTACAGCTGTGAGTACTTAGTCTTTTGGGAAATTGAATTAATTGATCTGGGATTATTTAAGCCTCAAACCAATGACCAGTTCATTTGTTTAATAAATTGTTATGATGTACCATTGATTTATGAAAGTAAATTAGGCCAGCTTCCATTCCATGTGATGGCCTATGGTACCCCTATGCTGTGAGAGACTTCTGTCTAAGGAGTAATGATAATTTGTCCTCAAATACACAAAAGATATAATCTTTCAGTTCATGCTTACTTATCTTGAAGTTTTCATTATACTGATACCTAACATAAAGATATTTCTCCAGAGTTCTTAACTTGCTATGTTTCCCTTTTCTCATGTACCTTAAAGCTTGCAGTTAACATTTATATTTGTCTAAGAAAGAATAATCTGGTTCTAGCTTTGTTGATATTACTGGAAAGAATATTTCTCTAAATTACTGTCCATGAGTTTCACCATGGACTTGTTACAATCATTGTGCATTGTCATTCATAAAAAATAATCTGTTTGAGAAATACCCTTATTGAGTGACTGAGTGTTTTGAACAAGAACTGATGAATAAACAAACACATCAAAATATGTAGCAGAATTGGCTATGCCTTAGAATGTGCTCTTACAAGAAGCAGTGGGTGAAGCAGATAGCAAACTGTTGAGAAATCAAATTCAGAGTAGCTCCTCTGATTTCTAATAAATTGAAGCACATCCATTATATTGATTGTAGGTGTCAAATCTACTCTTTTATCTACTGTACTTGGTGCTCGTTGGATTTCCAAGCTAGAATAGGACCATGGAAGATTTAGAAAAGCTTTCACTTTCTCCACAGCTCAAACTTAAACTGTAGTTTCTAAATTGAAATGCCTTTAAGATGCCATTATTATTATATACACACACACATGAATGTACACAAACACACACACACACAGACACAGAGACTTTACAGACTTCTCAAGCCAAAAAGAAACTCTGCAGGATGGAAAAAAAACCCCCAAGAACCAAAGAGTTTCAGTGAAACAAGAAGAAGGTCCAAAGATGGCCTTCTCCATATTTAATCTGTACTTGTAAGGGATTAATGAGGAAATTGTTGCTTCCACATGAAACACCAGGAAGTAATGGGGTTACTCCACATAAATGGAGTATGAAAGGGGAAATATGAAAATGTGCCAGAGGACAATTAAGAGACTACATACCAAATTGTGGAGGTGCTTTATGGTCTTTTATCTGGTTCACTCCAACAATTCCCAAAGGAGTTTTTTAACATGGCCTATCTAAAAATGTTTCACATGTGATTGGTGGACAACAGACCAACAATAGTGACTATGGAACTTCAGATCCTGTTAGGATTGCCCAGTGTACTCTTAGATGAAAATCCAGTTTTCATCCAATACTTATTCTCTCAGTGTCTGGCTTATGCGAGATTTCTGTGTTGCGAAAATATGTGGGAAAAAATTCCAGCTACACTAGCTCTGAACCTGAATTTTATAAATTCAGGAAGACATTTTTTCACCTGAAACATGAATAAGTGTAACAAAAGAGAAAGTAAACTACAGAGATATTTGACGCCACAGTACTCCAGTCTAAAGGATTGCAATTCCCATACAGATCACACAGGTAACAGCTCATCAAGTGCACTCACAAGAACCACTGGTCTTCTTTTCTGCTAGTAGAGACTGCAATTAAAATGAAGCATTTTTAATATGTTTTTAACAACTGAAAATTGTATGAAGAGTATAAAAAATTGATACCCACATACAAAAGGTGTGGACCAAATATTGGAACAAAATCCCACTGAGGTCCAGGAGTGAGTTCATTTGACTTCTGTGAGGCCAAGATCTCCATCCACTTCCCAGGTGGTTTTAGTCTCATAAACACTCGGCACACATCAGAGTTTTGTTATCACAGTTAAATTTTGTGATTTACATGTATGAAGTTTATGTTCTTTGAGTAGTTAACTATCTATCCAGCTTGTATAAGCAAATCTTCTTTTGCAACCAAATATTATGCTCAAAAGTACCAATATGAAAAAAAAACCCTAAAATTTAAATTTATAAAGTTTTTTAATGTTTGTCATCAGCAAAAATGTACTTACTATGTCATTCCTGAATGACAAGAAGATGGGAAAAAATTGATATTAGAATTCATGTTTATTTTAAACTTTACAAATTAAATCCAAGTTATCTGAAGAAAACTGGAACTAAATAGTCAATGACATAGCCTATAGCTCAAGAAAATGAGCTAAAATCTCAGGAATTTATGTTTTCATTCAGCAAAATTCCACCCAGACATAATCCTATAAAAATCTCTCTGATCATATGATCTTAATGAACAAGAATTATCAGTTTGCTTCTGCTAGTGCATTCTGAACCAGAAGAGTATCAGAATTGGTCTGAAGTCTTAAAAGTTTCCTGTATTACAACATGGACTGCCCAAAGGTTGTCATTCACCTCTCACCCTTCCTAAAGAAGGCTGTACTCTACACAAAATTTAGGAAATTGCTTTAATTTGCTTTAATCAAATTGGTGATAAAGATCTTACTTTTAAATTATATTTCCTTAACTCCTACTCAAAACAACTTATTTTGTTGATGGTACTTGAGTCCTTACCCACTCTTAATATCATATCTCTGTCCAAAATATTACCTAAGCTCTTATGCTCTAAAGAGCTCCTTGTACAGCTTTATACTTAGTATACAAAAGCCATGTTTCATTAGTGATAGAAAATTATTATTATTAAAGCATGTCCTGGAAGAATCCAATTAGAAGAATGTTAATCCAAAAGTTTATGAAAAGGTAAGAAAGGTACTTCCTCCACTTTCTTTAGTATTACAATTTGATCATACTTTCTTAGATGAGTTAAGTAGCCATGTAGAAAAGATACATAAAGGTGGCCTATGAAAGGTAAATCAAATGGCATTTGATTTTGATAATACTAACTTGATGTCTCAGAAATTACGAGATGCATGGGTTCATTGAAGGAGTCCCTTTAACCTTTTAAAGTATTTTCTGTGTGAATTCATCCAAAGTCAGTGTTCTGAAGAAGAACAAGTCTCTCAGACTGTTTCTTTAGTACTTATAGAGATTTTCAATAGATTAATCCTCTGTCTGACTTAAAGGAAACAGTGAATGAAGACTCTCTTTGCAAAATTACACCATGTGGCATGCAGGCGACATCAGATTTATTCACATACATTCTCTCCTGAGGATTGATCTTCTCTGCATGAAAGAAGTCTATAAAGAGGTTGGGTGTGTGCTCTTCATACTGAGCAAAGAACTTCAGTAATTAATGTTATTTTTACCTTACAGTTAATATTGATCATAGGACACAAGGCAAATTTCCGTTCAAGGTCTATCTGATGTTACGTGAACAAAATAATCTCCCAACTGAATAGAGACCATAAATAACATGATATATAAATTAAAATAAATATATATATATATATTATCAGTAATTCCCTTATTCATACTCACCTAATTCTGATGTGGAAAGGTTCAACTGCACAGTTTAAATGTAAAGCTCTTCTCCAACCCTACACCCAAATTTCATTCTGAAACAGGTAAATCAAAATGGCACATATAAATACATACAAAATACACAGACACCCATTGGGCTGCCTGTTTTTTAAGGTAAAGCTGTATCATGATTTCAATTTCTCCAGAAACTTCAATATCTTATAAAACAGTTTTTACTCTTCCATTGTAATGTACATAAACTGGCTGATTCCTCTCCTTGCATCTCTAGGGGTTTTTTTTAAGATTGGTTTTTCCTTTTATCTAAATGCCAGATTAGACCTCTATATAAAATCCGAAGTCTAAAAGTCAAACTTGTACTGGAAGAAAATGGCATTTGAAAAACTCAGCCTTTAAATTCCTCTCACAACTAACAGAAAGAACCTCTCCCAACACAAGTCCCTCAAGTTCCAATAAATTTACAGAGATTTACATCAGCGTAAATGCAAAATACTAAAAATAGTATAATGAATTAAGGTCACAATTTTCAACTGAAATCCAAAAAAAAAAAAAAAAAGCAGAAAAATAATGGGTTTGTCCTAATTATTAATGTTTTCCTCTTATTTCTGTTCTCTTTGCTTCAGAGTTCCCACTGAGCAGCTTCTGTAAGGTGGTTGGACCGACGACCTACTCCAAGATCACACACCTGCGCCTGGACGGCAACAACCTGACGCGGGCTGACCTGCCGCAGGAGATGTACAACTGCCTGCGCGTGGCCGCCGAGATCTCTCTGGAGTGACGCGCCCGGCATCGCCCAGCTCCCTCCCAGGGGCACTTACTGCAGGAATAACACACCATGGTAGTGCTTTAAAATTAGGGTATGCCTTAAAGCAAGTGTCAAGCTGCATAGTATCCATTCTGTTTGTGAAGATTTAGCGAGGACTTGGCAAATTTAAGGGAACGTGTGCATATTTTTACAAATGGTTCTGTTTAGAAAGCACAAGATTTACTAAATCTGATGCAAAATATTTCTTTATCTGGCTAAATGAGTTGATTTAAAAGATTCAACTTCATAAAAATCTATATTCATGCATGCAATACATGCCAGCAGGTTCCAGACTCACAGGGAAGTTAGGAGGGATTCATTGTTAGTTATAGTGAGCAGTATGGGCTGGCCTGTGTCCATACAAGATTCCTGTCAAACTTTCCTAATCATCATGCCTTTTATATATTGTTACCCATTGCAAAGGAAAAAATTATTTAACAATATACAAACAATTTAAAATTTGTGAAAATATGTGTTCAGAGCCTATGACATTGTTATATTAATGGAATACATGAAAGATAACGAGGAAAAAATATTCAGGTTAAATAATTGTTTACTCTTCTTTTTGTCATACTTTCATTTAACTGTCATGGTAAGATTTTTATTCATTGCTGGTATAATTGTTATTTCAAAATAAATCATATATACAAATATTTTTATTCAATTACTTGCATGCTATTTTTAACCAGACTGTAGAAAATAAAACATATCAAATAGTGTCCTTTTGTCCATATCATTGACAACTATGTTTCTTTCTTTTATAAAATGAAAAAAAAAACAGGTTAGGACAAGACAATCTAAGCTATTCTATCATTATAAAAATTATTGTAAGGCTAAATAAACTGTTTTCTCTACTTTGATGTTTCAATATGTTTGTACACATAATTTAACATGTGCCACTACACTTGCATTGGCCAATAAATCGATGCCTTATGAAGTTTGCTGTATGGGAATCATGGCACTATGAAAACGTGCAAACTAGTGTTTCAGTATTGTCAAAAGAACAGTGAAATCTGTCAGAAACCACAGGTGGTGAGTAAAATGCAGCTACACATGGTAAAGACATGGTAGTATGTTCCACCCAGGACTAAATAGTCCAAATGCTGTCAGCATCTTGGAACACACTAAAATAGATGTGTTAGTAACTGAGAGCTGTAAGTGGCTTGCTTGCAAGTACAGATCATCCCATGGGTACTGTTTTATTTTCAACTACTAGACCATTAAACACTCAAACAGAAACTTTGCTAGTTTCTATAGCAAAAGCAGAAACTATCACCTCTGAAAAAAACCCCAAACCAATTCATAGCAAACCATTTAGTCGGCATGTTGCCAGTTCCAGATGTTCAAAATCAAAACACAGTTCACAAAGAAACCCGGGACTAAAACAAAAGGAGAGATTCAGAAAACAATAGAAATATTTCCCTCCTTTTTTTTTTTTCATTTTGGAATTCATAAATGTTGCTTCTTTTTTACCCATGTACAGGAAGGATTGACAGTAAAATTTGTTACAAGTTGGCTAGAGTTTTCATTGCAGAATGAAGTGTAAATCTGGGGCTTTCTGAACACATCAGGGTGGGAATCACTGTGGAATAGCACCTCGGAATTGTTACACAGAAAAAGAAGAAGGAAGTGCATGCAAAACACCCCAAAGAAAAGAAAATTGAATGAGAAATGGTATTTAACCATTCCCAGAGAGCTTTTAACCCAACTGTTCCCTTCATGTAAAAATATACTAAACACTAAGACCTCTAGAGCACAAACTGATGAGATATGCCAGCTGATTGCTGAAGTCTAACAACACAACAGAAAAGTATTATTCTTTTCAGCTTGCTTCAGTACACTGATTACATTTATGCAAAATGAAGGAGTGTGAACAGTGAGACTGAGAACAGTCCAACTCATGATAGAGTAGAACCTGTTAAGAGAACTTCCTTCAACCTTCGTCTTTCCAGGTAATGCCAAGGTGCTCCCCTTAGCCTCTCTGAATATACCATATGTCTCAGTCCATGTCTTACTTCAGCCTGCCACTGCCTAAAAGCGTGATACAGAAAAAGTGCCCAGTGTCAGGATGCACGGTAAAAGGGAATGGTGGCAAAGAGAAAGTTCCAGAAGGAGAAATTTCAGCTGGACATATAAAAAAATTCTTCACAGTGAGTTCATAAAGTACTGTCACAGATTGCCCAAGGAAGCTGTGGACTCTGTATCCTCAGAAATGGGACAGATTTGTCTTTGAAGCTAGTCTTAGTTTTAGAAGGAGGTTGAACTAAACAACCTTCAGATGTTTCTTCAAACTTATTTATAACTTCTGTGAATCTGTGATTCTAAGAATACTAGTAACCAATGGGAAAAAATATCAGTTTTACTAGCCAGTTCTACAGCTGAAGAGTTTAGCATGAAATTCATGTGGAAAATTTCTTGTTTCAGGTTCCAGTCCATAATTCCAACTCCTATGATACTCACAAAACCTAGATTCCATAGGCAGGAACTGTGGAATCTTTCTTTCGATATCTTTGCTGGCTTGTGCCAATCTGCTCCCATCTTAACACTTGTGATTTACTGAGTAGTGGCAGTGAAATCAGAGATCCATCCCTTCTTACTCTCCCATGTGGGACAGCACTAACAAACATGCCACATCCTAATGGACAGGGTGCTCATGGAGGACATTTTGGTTATGATTTTTTTTCAGATTTTGATATTGGTTAAAAGGTTTTCCATCCATAAGAAAAAGAACGTAATTTGTAGGCCTTAAGGCTTTCACACAGAAATAACTCTCTTTTCTACTTAGTCTGAAAAGTCCAGCATCAGTTGAAGTAAGAAAGAAAAGAGTGGTAGCTGCACTTTAGGAGACTCACCTTGAAGGCAGAAAGTTCAGGTTCAAGTACCAGGGCAAATTATCACTTCATTATGTAAAGAAAAGCAGCTTTAGAGGCTGTAGGACTTTTTATCACACTGTTCTGAAATAAGATTGTGATTATGGGCTAAAATGTACATATTGCTACTCTTTAGTGCTATAACCATGTTGCTTTGTGGGGGAAACCTCTTCTACTTGTTTTAAGAGGTGAATCATATTCATTTTCATAATTTGAATTCTTAATCTACAGATCAAATAACACAATGTTTTAACAAGTTTTGATTACTATAAAAATTTCTTTTTAAAAGTATAATTCTTCTAATTCTTCTTATGTGGCACATCTCTGCTACAGCTACCTTTTAATTCTGAAATTATTAAAGAGAAGCAGAAAATAAAGTCTTATTAAGAAGGAAGTGAAGAAATTAGGTAAATACATGAGAAGAGAAATATTATTTATGTTGTCTATATGACAATGTAGAAACAAAGAGATTTGGTCAAATGCACCTGACTTCTGAAGGAGAGGAAAGCTCCTGCACTGTGCAAAAAAAAAAAGCAGTTTTGTCTTTGCTCTGTGAATCCCAGTGTGGGGCAATGCATACAAGTCTGTCATGGTATTTGGTCAACCTGAACAGAGCACATATTCAAATAACTATGAAGACACTTTGGAACCCATTAAATAATACTTGTAAAAATATATTTCCGTTGATGATAACACTTTCTTTGAAACATGGAAAATATTTCAGACAGAAGTACTGGAAATCTTTATAAATTTTGTAAGTTATAAACCAATTTAATAATAAGCTGTCTTGAAGATACACAAGTCTATCAAAATTCCTACTTCCATCATCTTTCCAGCATCATGTCATGTGATTTTGCCATCCGTCTTACTACACACACTGGTTTCTAAACTGCATGAACAAAAGTTTCCTGAACTTCACTTCTAGATTTCATAATTTTTCTGTCAAAAAAATAAACAGTAAGACCAGTAAGTTTTCTATACTATGTGCAATGCTGCATTGATTTGAAGAAGAATTTGTGATTACCTGTGTATAAAAATGATTTTTTTTTTTTTTTGTACAGGTTCTTAAGTTTGGATAAGAACCATGCCCTGCAATATTATTATCCCCACTCTCAATTCAGAAGAAGGAAAGGTGTGTTGTTCCTAATGGAAATCACAGCCTTGAGCTGAGGTATGTATTACACAGAAAATGCAGAAGGGAGCTAGGCATTTATTGCTGGGATTCCCAGCTGCCGCCATGAAGATCATGGAATAATCTAAGAAAAGGGCAGGTAGTGTTGAAGAACACCCCTTTGATTATTTAGGGTGATTTAGGTCATTATTTAGGGCTGTGGAGCTCTGCATGGTGCTTGGACAGGGATGGGTGATGAATTCTCCCTGGAGCTGGGTTCCAGAGCTGTCTTCAGAGAAAAAGGTGGTGTCAGTTTGCGTCAAAGTGCTGGGAATTGAGGAATTTCATCTACACAATAAAGACTTAGTTTCAACATGTTCCATCTGAAAGGATAATCAGTGACTGGAGTAGTCATGGTGAGAGAGATTTGAGCTTGAAGTTGGGACTCTGGAAGAAAACTCAAGTGCTTTGGGAAATGCCAGATCTTGAAAGCGATGACTGATATCGCAATTTAAGAAAATAAAAATCACATAGTCTAATGTTTAATTTCAGTATTTCCCAAGAGTATCTGCATTAAAAGTTAGAGCAAAAATTACTACAATTAATGGAAAATAAGAGCTGAGTTTTCATATAGGTTATGCCATTTGGCATTTCTTTCTAAATATTAAAAAAGCCCCTGAACCTTGAATTTGTCATGTGGCAAAATCACTGTAGCAGATCATTACTGTAAAGGGAACAAAATATTTTTTTCATTAAGTTGTGGGCATTCTCTTTTGTGCAATGCTTGTCACTCATTTTAGAGGACAGAACTTTTTGTGAGTTTAAACTTCTTGAAATCTATTGTCTTACTGTGGGGATCTAAAATGAAGATGAATTAAAATATTTTTGGACTTCTTTAACAAAATAAGAAAATAAGAAAACAGGAGTTAACATAAATTAAGGATAAAGACATAATTAAAGGATAGTACAGCCAGTTTGTTTTCACTATCCTGATATCATCTCAGAATATTTAATCCTTGATGGTCTATGGTTCAAAACTTCTACAGGTTTACAGAATGGGCATCAGATCACTAATTCATATTTTCATTTACCATTACTTGTCTGGAAAATATAAATTATCTAAATAGCTACACGTTGTCCCAGAAACTCAATATGTGTGTCACTGATAAATGCATGTTAGATATTTTAATTTGAGATACAGTTAGCATTTTAAAAATAGAGTCCCAGGGTGGGATAGATTT